TCGGCTGAGGGGCCCCCCTGTTGTCCCTGCCTCCCCCCCCCCCCGCCCACAGATCGTGCTGACCGAGATGTATTACGATGGCTTCCATCGCTCCTTTTCTGACACGGACGACCTGGACACGGTGCAAGAAAGCGACTGCATCTTTGCCTTCGAGACCCCGGAGATCTACCGGCCAGAGGGGATCCTGAGCCAGAGAGGTCAGTCTCTAATCTGGGAGAACCAGGTTTGATTCCTCACTTCTCCACATGCAGCCACTGGTGTGGCCTTGGGTCAGTGACAAGTTCTCTCAGAGCTGTTCTCTTAGGAGCAGTCCTCTCCTAAGAGCTCTCTCAGCCCCACCTACCCCACAGGGTGTCTGTTGTGGGGAGGGGAAGGGGAAGGAGTTTGTAAACCACTCTGAGACTCCTTTGGGCAGTGAAGGGCGGGGTATAAATCCAATATCTTCTTCATTTTCTTCTTCTTCTGGCTGGACTGTTTGAGAGCCAGTTTGGTGTGGTGGTTAGGAGTGTGGACCAATGTTCCCTCTAAGCTGTGGAGTCTCATGAGCAAAAATTCTACTTTGTGAGCTACTAGCATTAAAGTGGTGAGCAAGCCATTTGGCTCCTGCATTAATTAGTTTGCTCTGGAGCCATCCTTCCTGAGCTGAGACAAAAATGTGTGAGCTGGAGGATAAAAAACTGTGAGCTAGCTCACTCTAACTCATCTTAGAGGGAACACTGGTGTGGACTCTAATCTGGGAGGACCAGGTTTGATTCCCCACTACTCCACATGCAGCCAGCTGGTGTGACCTTGGGTCAGTTTCAAGTTCTCTCAGAGCTGTTCTCTCAAGGGCAGTTCTCAAGAGAGCTCTCTCAGCGCCACCCACCTCCCAGGGTGTCTGTTGTGGGGAGGGGAAGGGAAAGGAGTTTGTCAGCCGCTCTGAGACTCCTTCGGGTAGTGAAGGGCGGGATACAAATCCAGTCTCTTCTTCTGGGACTGTGGTGTTGTAACCCTTCTGAGTAGAGCAGGGAGGGTGGACTCCCACCAGATGGCCCAAACGTCGGGTGCTTGCTGCGTCCTCTGGCCCTGCCGTTTCTGCCGCTGGGCTCTTTCTGGTTGTGGCCCCGAGGGACTCTCTGGACCGCTGTCTGTGTTGACGCCTCTTCCGTGCCCTTCCAGGCATCCACGTGAACAGTAACCTGAACCACTTGAAGTATAGTGCTGACCCTCTCAGGACCCCTCCCTATCCTCCGGGGAGGCTGGAGAACTCCAACGCCCGGGGGCCGGCCGGCGACAAGATCGTGGTGCTGGTGTGCAACCGTGCCTGCTCGGGGCAGCAAGGAAAGAGGTAACCGCTTCCGAGGAGGAGGAGGAGGAGGAGGAGGAGGAGGAGCACTCTCTCTGGCCCACCCAGAGCTCCTAGAGTGGAGTGGAATGTTAAGGTGGGGGCAACGGAAAGCAAAGGGAACATGTTGTCGACAGCAGGGCTCGTTCTCGGTGGGGCCACGCAGCAGAAAGTCTTGGCTCATCTCCTGCAAGTTCCCGCGAGGAGCCCTTTTCTGGGAAGGGAGTTTTGAGTGGCTGCTGGAGGGCCAGGGTAGCAGGGGTGTGTGTGTGTGCCTTTGTTCTACAGCCTGACCGGTGTAAGGGGGCCAGATCCTCCCCCTGGGGAAAAGGGGCTCTGGGCCACAGCCCAGAGCTGGTCTTCCCTGAGGCGGGCGGGTGGCCTGGTTGCCGGTGCTGCCGCCAGAGTCGTGGGAAACGGCGTGTGTCTCCAGGAGTGCGAAGCCGCGGGCTGTGTGTGTGTGTGAGGGGCCAGCTCCGTAGGTCCTCAGGCGTCGCTGCTCCTCTGTGCAGGTTCGGCCACCCCTTCGTGCTGCACTTGGAGAAGTCGGTTCCCTGGGACATCCTGCAGAAGGAGATCCTGGAGAAGATGCAGTGTTACCTCCGGCCCTCGGCCTGCATTCAGGTAAAGCGGCCTGGAGCCTCCCGAGGAAAGGATTGTCGCAAAGGAAGGCCCCAGCCCTGGGGGGAAGGGGTGTGTGTCCCAGCCCTTCACTTACTGTCGCTTTACATTCGGCATTGTTTGGACGAATGGGTGGGGGGGCCAGCGTTCCCTCTAAGCTGAGTTAGTGTGAGCTAGCTCCCAGTTTCTTAGCCTCCGGCTCACACATTTTTGTCTTCGCTCAGGGAGGGATGGCTCCAGAGCAAACTGATGCAGGAGCCAAATCGCTCGCTCACAACCTTAATGCCAGGAGCTCACAAAGTAGAATTTTTGCTCACAAGACTCCACAGCTTAGAGGGAGCATTGGTTCGGAGAAGAGGGAAAAGCGGACTGCTGGAAGAACGCTTATCGGGGCCGCTCACGCCAGATGGGGGGGGAGGCCTCTCTTGGTAGGGGCTGAAATCCCTTCTGGTCTTACGGTGGGTCAGGGCCGTCCTGGTTGTGTCTGCCCGTGGACCAGAATGCACCAGCTTCGGACCGACGTGTGCCCAGGAGGAGTCTTCCCCCTCCTGCACAACTCTGTGTGTGTGCGTGTGCGCGCCCCCCCCTTCCGTGGCTTCAGCCCCTCAGCCCAGTGTTCCCTCTAAGCTGAGTGAGTGTGAGCTAGCTCCCATTTTTGTAGCCTCCGGCTCGCACATTTTTGTCCTCGCTCGGGAAGGGTGGGGCTCCAGAGCAAACTAATTCCTGCAGCAGCCCAATCGCTCGCTCACAACTTTAATGCCAGCGGCTCACAAAGTAGGATTCTTGATCACAAGCGTCCACAGCCTAGAGGGCACGTAGCCCCAGCCTGCCACGTCTTCTTCCACTCCCCACAGGTGTGCCCTTTCAGCCTGCGCGTGGTCAGCGCCGTGGGTATAACGTACCTGTTACCTCAGGAGGAGAGGCCCCTCTGCCACCTGATGGTGGAACGGTGAGGAAGACGTCTTCGTGGCCTGTCTGCATGTCGGTACACTGATGCAGGGGTGGGCTCCTCGTAGGCGGGCAGGGAGCGCGCCCTCCTGTCCGCGGGGAGGCATCTGGCCTGCCACTCTAGCCTTGCCGCCCATTTTGGGCCCTTTCTCGGGACGGGCTGCGTCTTCTCACTCTGGGTGCTGCTTGCGGAACTCTTGCCCCCTCTGGGACAGCTACGCCTGTCTCCTGGGGAGGGGTCAGCCCGTGGCGGCTCTGATTGGTCAGATCCGTGGAAGTTAAGTGAGCCGGGCAAACAGGGAAGAGCTGCTACCGGTGAGACTGGAGCCCTTGCCGCCGCCGCCTTCAGCGAAGACGTGGGGCCTTGTCTGCGGGCTTTCCTCTGCTCTGTGTGAGGGATCGTAGCCCTCCCCTACCGGGTGGACATACTAGGGGGACTGTGTCAGGGTAACGCCTTCATAGAATCACAGAATGTTAAGAGTGGGAAGGGACCTTGCAGGTCATCTAGTCCAACCCCCTGCACTCTGCAGGAGCAGAGCCGAAAGATAGCCCTACATACCTACAACATACCCGGAAGAGGGTCGTCCAGCCTCCTCCGCTTGGAAACGCCCAGCGAAGGAGCATCCACCACCTTCCGAGGCAGACTGTTCCACTGCTCAACCACTCTTATAGTTAGGAAGTTTCTCCCGATATTTAGCCGGTATCGACTCCCTTGTAATTTCCACCCGTTAGATCTAGTCTTGCAATCCAGAGTGAGAGAGAATAGATCCGCTCCATCTTCTACATGACAGCCCTGCAATCGTGTCCCCTCTAAGCCTTCTCTTTCCCAGGCTAAACAGACCCAACTCTTTCAGCCTTTCCTCATAAGACTTGGATTCCAACCCTCTCACCATCCCGGTTGCCCTCTTCCGGACACGCTCGAGCTTGTCAACATCTTTCCTAAAGCGTGGTGCCCAAAACTGGACACAGGACTCCAGGTGGGGCCTGACCACAGCAGAAGAGAGCGCAACCACCACCTCCCGTGATCTGGACACACAAGGCTTCTGTGAATGCATCCTAAGATTGCACTCGCTTTCTTCACAGCCACATCGCACTGCAGGCTCATGTTTAGCTTGTGATCAACCAGAACACCCAGGTCCCTTCCACATGTGCTGCTGCTGTCAAGCCAAGTCCCTCCCATTCTATATATACCAGGCTAGCCTGGTCTCGTCAGATCTCGGAAGCTAAGCGGGGCCGGCCCAGGTTAGGGCTTGGATGGGAGACCACTGATGAAGTCTAGGGTCCCTACGCAGAGGCAGGCAGAGGCAAACCACCTCCCTATGTCTGGCCCTGTCTTGGATGGCCCAAGTTAGCTCGATCTCACCAGATCTCGGAAGCTCAGCAGGGTCTCCTTCCCTGGCTAGTGCTTGGATGGGAGACCGAGGTCGCTGTGCAGAGGCAGGTAAAGCACCTCTGGACGCCTCTTGCCTTGAAAGGCAGGTCACACGTGAGGGAGGGGCAAGGACGGGTTTTGTCTCAGTGCTTAGTTCCCGCGGCCCTCTCTCTGACACGCCCAGGGAAAGGATGATGGCCACTTTGGGGTTAGGAAGTCATTGTTCTCCAGGCCACTTCGGCCGGGGATCCTGGAGGGGTTTTTTTGTCCTCTTCCGGGCGTGGAACAGGGGTCGCTGCGGGGGGGTGTGTGTGGGGGGGGAGGTATTTGTGAGTTTCCTGCCTTGTGCAGGGGGTTGGACTAGATGACCCCAGAGGTCCCTGCCAGCTCTATGATTCTGTGAAAACCCCGTGATGCGTCAGCAGGCTGTGACTTGATGGCGCTTTCCGCCCTCCCCATTTCCATGAAATACTTCGAAGGCCACGTAATATCGTTGTTTCTCCTGCACCTGTTGAACTGTTACACGTAATGCGTGAAGCTGCCTTAATCCGAATCAGACCCTCCGTCTGTCAAAGTCAGTCTAGTCTTGTCTACTCAGGCTGGCAGCAGCTCTCCAGGGTCTCAGGCAGAGAAAGGTCTTTCCCATCACCTCCTGCCTGGTCCTTTTCAACTGGAGATGCTGCCGGGGATTGAACCCGGGACCTTCTGCCTGCCGAGCAGAGGCTCTGCCACTGAGCCACGGCCCCTCTTTACAGCTCTCCAGGGTCTCGGGCAGAGAAAAGTCTTTCCCATCACCTCCTGCCTGGTCCTTTTCAACTGGAGATGCTGCTGGGGACTGAACCTGGGACCTTCTGCCCGCCAAGCAGAGGCTCTGCCACAGAGCCACAGCCCCTCTTTGCAGCTCTCCAGGGTCTCGGGCAGAGAAAAGTCTTTCCCATCACCTCCTGCCTGCTCCTTTACAACTGGAGACGCTGCCGGGGATTGAACCTGGGACCTCCTGCCTGCCAAGCAGAGGCTCTGCCACAGAGCCACGGCCCCTCTCTACAGCTCTCCAGGGTCTCAGGCGGAGAAAGGTCTTTCCCATCACCTCCTGCCTGGTCCTTTTCAACTGGAGGTGCCGCCGGGGGTTGAACCGGGGACATTCTGCCAGCCAAGCAGAGGCTCTGCCGCTGAGCCACGGCCTTTCAGGCTGGTTTCTGGCTCCTCTTGTGTAGACTGTAAGATGGTTGCGCGGGCTCTGAGTGGGTGCGCCTCTGGGCCCAGCCGGGTTCCTGCCGCGTGGTGCCACGGTGGCCTGTGAGAGAGTGATTCTGCAGGGCACCAGCGGGTGGCACGCTCTTCAGCTGCTGTGGTCTTCTCCCTGCAGGGCTCTGAAGTCATGTGGCCAAGGCGGGACCCCACACGTGAAGCTCGTGGTGGAGTGGGACAAAGAGACGAAGGATTAGTAAGTGCCGTGCCTGGCGATGGGGAATGTCTGTCTGGCCCCAAACCAGTGGGGGGGGCAGCTGCAGTGATCCTGTTCCCCACACTTCAGCAGGGGGCAGCCCGGCCCGTAGATCCGTGTGCCCCGAAAAGATTCTGTTGGGCTGTTTAAGGGAGCATAGCAAAGAAGGGGGTGTCAGATCCCTGCAGCAATCAGTTCCCAACAACTTTCATTCAAAAGAGTAAAGTTTATAGAGGACAGTAAAGGCAGGTCCTCTGTGCCTACATTCTGTGTTAGAACTACTGGAAAGCACGCCAGCGGGGAGTTATATGTAATTCGGGGGGGGGGGGGTCCCTTGAGGGCCCAGGTCCAATCAGGGCACAAGCAAAAGCCCGCCTAACCTAACGGGTCTACGTTCCCAGGGGGAAGCTGTAACAAGGTACAACAAGGTCACCAGCTGAGGCTACATAGATAAGAAGAGCACAGAAGAAACGAGATTTGATTTTATTTATTTAACTTTTATCCCGCACTCCCGGCCAAGGCCGGCTCAGGGCGGCTTACAGAAACAGAATAAAATTCCAACAATACATACAAAAACATAGTAACAGGTAATATAAATACAATATTAAAACCAAACATAATAATAAAGTGCTAGCATAAGTTCCTCACTTTTTTATCGTCAGCTCCACTGGTCTACTCAGTTGTTGTAGGCAGGTCCTCTGTGCCTACATTCTGTGCTAGAACTACTGGAAAGCGTGCCCAGCGGGGAGTTATACGTCATTCAAAGGGGGTCCCTTGATGGGCCAGGTCCAATCAGGGCACAAGCAAAAGCCCGCCTAACCCAACGGGTCTACGTTCCCAGGGAAAAGCTGTAACAAGGTACCAAGGTCACCAGCTGAGGCTACATAGATAAGAAGAGCACAGAAGAAACGAAACTTAAGATTCCAGTACAGAGCCAGACCAACCTCCCCCCCCCCCCCAGTCATGGCAGCCGTGCCAGAGGCAGCACACCGCATGTATTAGCTTTAAAAAGTAACGCTTACCGATTGCTCATGCGGAAAAGGAACTGGTCCTTTGGAACAAACACACACGGTCTAGCTCCCCTAATCTGCGTGTGGTCTCTTTGTCTGAGCCCCGGGTGAGAGTTAGAACAAAGAGCAGGAATTTGAGGAAAGGTTAAGGCACTTAGGGCTCTTTAGCTTGGAGAAACGACGACTGAGGGGTGACATGATTGAGGTTTACAAGATTATGCATGGGAAAGAGCAGGTAGAGAAAGAGGTACTTTTCTCCCTTTCTCACAATACAAGAACTCGTGGGCTCTCCATGAAATTGCTGAGCGGTCGGGTTAGAACGGATAAAAGGAAGTACTTCTTCACCCAAAGAGTGATTAACACTTGGAATTCACTGCCACAGGAAGTGGTGGCGGCTACAAGTATGGACGGCTTCAAAAGGGAATTAGATAAGCATATGGAGCAGAGGTCCATCAGTGGCTCTTAGCCACAAGGTATAGATAGGGGCTCTGGGGCAAGGGATGCTCTGTCTTCTTGGTGCTTGGGGGGGTCAACAGTGGGATGGCTTCTGGTGTCCTGGCCCCACTGCTGGACCTCCTGATGGCACTGGTATTTCTGGCCACTGTGTGATACAGAGTGTTGGACTGGATGGGCCTTTGGCCTGATCCAACATTGGCGTCTCTTATGTTCTTATGTTCTTAAAACTTTCTAAGCCTCCTCCACCCCTGGGACATCTTCAGAGCTATCGATCAGCCAATAGGCAGCCCCAGTGCCTGCTCATTATGCGGAGGGTCACCTAGACTCCGGCAGGGAAGACGTGACGGCTACTCTGCTGGTCCTCAGGCTGTCTGACTAGGCCACCCTCGCATATGCATAAGTCAACAACACATTAATCCTTCCGTGACATCAGGAAAGGCACTTGCTCACCTGTCCCGACAGATTCGTTCTGGCCATGCAGGACTGCGGCCTCCCCTTGAGTGGCGGAGGGTCGGGGTGCAGCTGGGCCCGGGCTGGACTTGCGTCCGATGGCGGGTGCGCCCTCCTGGCCTGTCGGGGGCCGGCTCTCTCTCTCTCTCTGCAGGGCGGGCAGAGGGGGCTCAGCGTGGCTGTTCTCCTCCCCGCAGTTTGTTCGGGAACACGGAGGACGAGTACATCCCCGACGCGGAGAGCGTCCACCAGCAGAGGGAGCTCCACCGCCAGCCACAGTGCTGCTCCTTGGCTCAGTGCTTCCAGCTGTACACCAAAGAGGAGCAGGTGAGAGGCGGGGCGGGGCGGGGGCAGCCTACCTGGCCCCACACGGGCCACGCAGCTCTCTTCCGGCCGTTTCCCGGATGTGCGGAAGGGTGCCAGTCGGGCCCCTGGCCACGTGGCAGGGCTGTTTTGCCTGCCGTCTTTGTCCCAGTGCAAATCCGCATACAGCCCGACAGCCCGTTTCGATGTTTTAATAACATGCATTATCTCAGCCTGGTGCTGCCGTTTGAGGAGTGGTCTCCTGCTGGTGGGTACCCCCCTATGCCAGTTGGGTGTGGTGGTTAAGTGTGCAGACTCTAATCTGGGAGAACTGGGTGTGATTCCCCACTCCTCCGCCACTTGCAGCTGCTTGTGTGACCTTGGGTCAGTCCCAAGTTCTCTCAGAGCTGTTCTCTCAAGAGCAGTTCTCGAAAGAGCTCTCTCAGCCCCACCCACCTCACAGAGGGTGTCTGTTGTGGGGAGGGGAAGGGGGAAAGGAGTTTGTCAGCCCCTCTGAGACTCCGAGTGAAGGGCCAGGGGTATAAATCCGATTTCTCCTCCTCCTTCCCCCTGCATCTCCCTTCCCCCTGCCTTTGAGAAGCAGATCTTGCCGGTGCCCCCAGCCAGCAAGGCACCCGAAGGGGGGGGTGTGCGCGCGCGCGCGCATGTCTCTAACCGCAGCCCTCTCTCCTTGCAGCTGGCGCCGGATGACGCGTGGCGCTGCCCGCACTGCAAGCAGCTGCAGCAGGGAAGCATCACCCTCAGCCTCTGGACCCTCCCCGACGTCCTCATCATCCACCTGAAGCGCTTTCGGCAGGTAGAGGCGGGCTCGCTCAGGGAAGAGCCTCCTCGTGGCCGGCGTGAGCGGAGGCTCCACCCATGGGGCAGCAGTCTGGTGCTCTCCGGGCACCCGGGGGCGGCCTGTTTGCGTGCAGGGGCGTCCCGTACTCAGCCTGCAGGGCCCCGTGTTTGAAAGGCAGGCGTTCAAGGCCTGTCTGCCCGTCGGGGAACCGAGGATCCGGGCCTCTTTCCCGCCCCCCCATGCGCCTTTACTCAAGTGAGGAGAATGATGGCACCCGCTCCTCTGGCCCACATTCTCCTGAGCACGGTCAGGGCACATGCGCTTGCCACTTCGGTGTCGTGGTTGAAGTGCAGGCGGACTCTAATCTGGGAGAACCGGGTTTGATTTTCCCACTCCTCCTCCACTCGCAGCCAGCTGGTGTGACCTTGGGTCAGTCACAAGTTCTCTCAGAGCAGTTCCCTCAAGGGCAGTCCTCGAAAGAGCTCTCTCAGCCCCACCTGCCTCACAGGGTGTCTGTGGTGGGGAGGGGAAGGGAAAGGAGACTGTAAGCTGCTCTGGGACTCCGAGTGAAGGGCCAGGGGTATAAATCCGATTTCTTCTCCTCCTTCTCCTCCTCCGCTGGCCGCCTGACCCACGCTCCCTCCCCACACAGGAAGGAGACCGGCGGATGAAGCTGCAGAACATGGTCCGGTTCCCGCTGGCCGGCCTGGACATGACGCCCCACGTGGTCAAGCGGAGCCAGAGCAGCTGGAGCCTGCCGTCCCACTGGTCCCCCTGGAGGCGCCCCTACGGCCTGGGGAGGGACCCTGAGGACTTCATCTACGACTTGTACGCGGTCTGCAATCACCACGGCACCATGCAGGGGGGGCACTACACAGGTGACCGGGGCTGTCTTCTTCCCCACCCCACCCCACCGGGGGCTCTCTGGCTTTCCCCCGCTTGCGTCCCCCACGCCCCCCTCCCACAGCATGCGCTCCCTCTCCCCTGAGGAGGAGGAGGAGGCTCACCCACAGCCACTGGGGGGTGTGTGTGTGCACGTGTGTGTGTCTGGATTTCCTCTGCCTTGCCTTCCGTTGGTGCAGCTCCCTGGGGGTCTGTTTCTTTGGCCTTCCTTCCGCTTGGCCGGCAACTCTCAGCCTTTTCTGTTCTCCCCCACCTTATGGGGGAAGCGTCGTGGGTGCGGGAAGACGCGGTTCCATCTGGCCGCCGCACCTGCAGTGCGGGCCTTCCCCCCCACCCCGCAGCGCACCGTCTCACGCAGTGGGCCTCCTCCCGCAGCCTACTGCAAGAACTCCATCGACGGCCTGTGGTACTGCTTCGACGACAGCGAGGTGCGGCAGCTGGCCGAGAACGAGGTCTGCCGGAACACGGGCTACATCCTCTTCTACCAGCGGCGGACGGCCATTCCGTCCTGGTCGGCCAACAGCTCGGTGGCAGGTACGTCTCGGGGCGTGGGCAGGGGGGAGCTGGTCTGAGTCTGGCTCCCGCGGCAGTGCCGTGGGGTTCCCTGTCTGGAAAAGCAGGCGGATGTGCTTGTGCGAAATGGGGCTGCCTCCTGCCAGATTCGCCGCTCAGTTCCCACCCCCCAGCACCTCTCTCTCCCCCCCAGTGGAGCGGGCTGGAGATCTCTTCTTCTCCTGCTCCTTCTTCCTGTTTGGGAGCCTCTCGTCCCGTGTCGTCCGGTGGCTTGGAACCGGAATGGGCCCCCTCCCAAGAGCCCCCACCCTGGGCGCGCCCTCCTCTCGCGTGGCTCCCCTCCCAGCCCGCCCAGCACCCGTCCGGCCGGCTTTGGCGGAGCGTCCTCCTCTCTCTCACCGGGCTTCCTCCTCCCTCCGCCTCTCCCCCCCCCCCCCCCGCGCACCCCCCGCCCCTCCCTTGTTGGC